AAGAATATATAGGAAGCGGTCAGTAGAAAAGGGGAAAATCCACTTTTTAGTCAAAAATTTTTTTATTGGTTCACTCTGCTAATCATGATTATGTGAACAAAACTAGCTTAATAACTAAAATTAATCAAAATTTGTAGATTTCCCCCTTTTCTATTAACTGCCTCCCATATTTCAATTTTATATATCAAAAAAAAAGGTTTGGCAGTTTTTTGGTAGAAAAAAAGTATTTTATTCTGTTAAGCATTTACCAAAAGTTCATGTTTAGGGATGTTTTTCTGCTTCTGAATTTGATAAATTATTTTGCTTTTAGAAAAACTTTAATGTTAAATTTATATATACTATTTATAAGCAGAGTCTTCTGGCTTCTACCTCTAAATTTTTTAGTGAAAATAATATAGATTGGATCTTGCAAGAAGATAATGATCCAAAGCATCAATTAAAAATCATGAAAAATAGAAGGAAAAAAATGGTATTGAGATTAAAGATGATTACCACAATTAAAAAAAATGACACAATTAAGTTGCAACTTATGACATAATTAAATTTCCTTATTGTAATTAAGTTGCAATTTAATTGAAATTTGAAAATAATTATGGGAACTATCTTTAATTGAGGTACTTTCTTAGCCATCAATATCTCTAGACTAAAAACCTATAGAAAATATTTAAAGGTTATTGAAAATTAATATATAAAAAATAATTTGATCAATTAGAGGGTTAAAGGGTGAACTTATAAAAGTATAGAACTGATTATCACCTGTACTTGCTACAAATTTAGTAGCTAATATAAAAAGGTGTACAGCTGCACTTATAGAGTTAGATGGTAATTACATAATGTATTAATTTTAGTTAGTTAATTATGTATTTTTTAAATAAAAAAATTTTAAATTACTTACTTATAGCTGGAGTTAAAGGCAGTTGAATACTTATGACTACTACTGTAACATTAGCATCAAATCTTATACTAGACGAAAAACAGGATCTTTTTTTAATATAGACTACACTTTAAAATTCTAATAAAGATTTTTAACGAAGAGTGATAATTGTTAATTTTGAATATTTGGATAAAATATGACTCATATAAATATATAAACGGTGATATTCAAAAATCTTTGCTTATTATTTTATAAAGTATCATGAGTTAAGTATTTGATAAAAATAAAATGTCTCAAATAAAAAATGCTAAATAATCAGAATATGGCTATCTAGTATATATTCTATAATGATTAAAGTTTTTGAATAGCTTCTTCAAAGAGAGATATAAAAATTCTCCTAACTATACTCATTCTTTATCAGAAATCAATAGATTAAAATAGCTAAAAGCTATTAAATATTTAGTTGAAATAAAAGCAGCTAAAAATTATTCGCCTTTAATAATTACATCTGCTGTCAAGAAATACACAATGTTAGAATTAGATCTTAGTAAACTCGTGAATTGAAGTGTAAAGAAGTAGCAAATATTAAATATAAAATTCATGAGCCTGCAGAAACTTATTTTATTGAAAATTCAAATTTAAAATTTGATATTTTAGAGACTATTTCTTATTTAATAGAGTAGGAATATTATGTTAAAATTTATTATATCTTTTAACAGTCTACTAAAAGTATTGTATTTACGTATTTAGAGTAACTAAAGAAGCTTAAGCATCATAAATGATTGACGCTTATAGATTCAATATATAAAACAAACTTGTATAATTAGCATCTATTTATTCTTTATATCTATATTACTTATAGATATTAGAATATAAACACCCATTTTTCATAAGTAGTGAGAATGCAAATACAGTTGCGAAAGCTTTAATAATAATCTGCAATAAGTATTATTATTAGTTTCCTGTTACATACTTTCAGATCATAGTAATATTAAAGCCAAGAGTATTAAAAAGACATTTCTCAACATGGTAATTGATGAATAAGAGTGCTAAGTTCTCCTTTGTATTATCTATATTATGAGAACATAAATGCAAAAAATTCATGAAAAAAAATCTAAGATATTATAATCACAACAATGTATAAAAAAATAAAGATTAGATATGAAAGCCTTATTCAAGATACTATTAATTCTTGTCTCTTTTCTTCTATACAAAGTTATATTAAAAGAAATTATATGAAAAATATCAAGTAATAGGGTTTATAGACTCAGCAACATTCCTCCTTATTTTTATAAATCACTTTAACGAATTTGCTAAAATCTTTTTATAGTAAATTAAAGAAAACAATATTTTTGTTACATAGTTTGATCAGTATATGATGATTTTATTTAGCTATTTTATCTACATGCACAACTCAAAACTTTTATATTTTAAGTGTTACTCACAAAGTCATCAATATTGATTGCAAAAAAGATATGAAGCCAAAAGTGTAACCTTTAATTTTTATATCAAAAAAATATATACATATAGTGTTAATAATGATATTCTTAAAAAAATCTAAAAGCTCCTATTTCTGTTTCAACAATTAATCATTAGAGAAGCCTATGTTATGATGAATAGACTTGTAAAAGAAAAAAGTATATTAGGTCTTACTTCTCTTTTATTTCGCCATTGATATTTATTACCCTGCAAGTATATTTTTCATGAATATATATATGGCAATAAATTATTAACTGTCAATGTATGGCAAATATTTCACAAAATTTTTAAAGAAAGTGGGTTTGAAGTATATGAAAATCAAAAATCATTTATAGAATATGTTCAGACAGAATAACAGAAAAATGCTGAAAATCGAAGAATTGCTATGAGTAAATTAACTAAAAGAATATGATAGGTATTAGCATATTAAAGAGATAGTAATATTAAAAAGACACAATCTTTTATTTCTATATTAGAAACCTTTGTAAATCTGATTATTTCACATTTTGATAATAATTTAAACGGAAAAACTTAGAATTATTTATTAATATTTTGATACTAATAAATATACAAGGTTGTTTAGACTCTGATTATTGTGCAGCTTGACTTCTTAAAATTATTACGAAATTTTTTTTATATAGAAAAAATTTTAAGAATTTTTTTTATGTAGATAAAACTTTATGATTTTTTTTTTTTAGAAATTTTACAAATTTTTTATTATATAAATATAAAAAAATACATTTTAAATTCAAATAAAATAATAAAAATAATAAATATAGGTGGGTTTTTTTTAATTAATTATTTAATATTCTTTTAAAAATTTTTAATTTTTTTATTAATAATTTATTGATATTTTTAAGAAATTTTACTTTGTTAGAACACATTTTTTTAGTCAATTATTATTTGATATTATAATAAAAAATCACATAATACTTCTGGTCAATCGCAACTACTTCAGTATCACTAATATTTTTTTCACCCCCACATAATCAAATTTGCTGATCTTTCCTAAAAATAAAGATAAAAACTGGTAAAAATATTATATATCTTTTAAACTTATATATTATATGTATTTTTATCTGATTTATAAGTTTACTTAGGCAATAAAAGTAGGTTTACATATTTAGATTTTGATTTTTATATAAATATTTCTAAATGATTAATTTAATAAAATTTAGTATTCTAAATTCCTTTTTGAATTCTAAGTAAACTTGCAAAGCGTAAAGAATTAGATATAAATATTTGGTTTTGAGATTAAATAATGTCTATAATAAGTTTTATTTAACAAAACAAAAAAATATTTTTTCGTTAAAATTTGGATTACTATTTTTTAGAAATAATCAGCAAATTTAGTCGAAAAAAGTGTCAGTGATACTGGAAAAGATGTCAATCGTGATTATATCACATGATTTGCCTCTGCTTTTAGATTTCTCTAAAAAATCATCAATACGTAATCAATTTTTGCTGATCATTTCTAAAAATAGACTATTAAGCTTAACGAAAATTTTTCTTTATTTTATTTTTTTAAATAAAACCTAGAAAAAATATTATACAAATTCCAAAATTAAATCCTATATGTAATTTTACTTTCTTTATATATTTACTTAATAAGAAAATGGTAATTATGAATACTGTTTTTTCAGTGGAATTATCTTTTATAAAATATAATATAAAAGTCAAAAAATGTGTTGAAATCTCCTTTTATCTCTAAGAAAAATTGTAGAACATGTAATAATTCTTATAAATGGTATAATTTTAAATATTCAATTTTTGTTAAAATTAATCTAACTATTTTTAGGTATGATCGACAAAATAGATCACGTGTCGGTGATTTTTTGGTGATTACGTTGGGAAATTTCTGCTTTTAAACGACCTCTGTAATTATCAAGAACGATTTACATGCGAAGTTATGAAAATTTCAGCCAGAATTATACTTAATCGTAATAATATAATAAATTAATAAATTTGAATAAATTAATTAAATAAACTATATTTTTATATCAAACGTTTAAAAATTCAATGAGTTTTTATTATATAATTATAAATATATCATGCTCTTTTGTTGGACTATATTATACTTTATTAAAAGTTAGGTAAACAACATCATTTTTTCAGTAAAATTTGAATTGATTTTCATTTTCAAATACTTACCTCAAAATTCATTATTTTGTTTGTTCATTAAAGGAAGTAAATAAGATATTTCTTTCAATTTCTTTATAATCTTAAACTTTATTTTTTATATATTGTTATTACATCATTAAGAGCTGGAAAATAGACCTTTAATAATTACGACTTGAAGTATCTATATCAAGTTTTCGAGTGGTTAAAATCAGTATATAACAGATATTGAGAATTGGAGCTGACACCACCAATAATTGTTCTTTCCAAAATCAGAAAATAGGCATGGTAAGTAAGGCTTCTTTTAATGCAACATGATAATGTTGTAAATAACTTTAGAGGATATGTTAAAATATAATAACTATTAAATTCTGAACATTAACTTAGTTTCAGAATTTTCATAACTCTGATGCATTCTCGAGATTTTTCATGATATTATAGACGGTTAGTTAGAGACATAATGAGATTCAATATATTTTGATATGTTCTTGAATTTGATACTTAACTATTAGCATATGTGATCAGTACGCTAAGGCATGCTAGCTCTTTCGACGTCATCCTGTGATGACTCATCAACCAACGAATAGAGAAAGTCCACAATGCTTACGTGAATAACTGGTACAGCCAGGCTAGAAAGAGTTCCTTCACGTTCACTCTTTCGACGCCATCCCGGGATGACTCGTCAACTGATGAATAACAGTAAATCCACAGTGCTTACGTGAACAACTGGTACGGCTAGGCTAAAAAGAGTGAGAAGGATGCACGCTTTTTTTTTGCAATACAGCTGTAGTTGATTAGTAAACTTTGAAACATTTTGAAGGAATTTCTTTTTTAAGATTTATTGTTGCAAAGTTTGACTTTTTTTTACAAACAATAAGAGAAAAAGTCGATTTTTCACCTTACGTGATGTTTTACGTAAGGTAAAATTTGTTTGTGACTTATCTTGTGATAAGTGAACTTTTTGTTAGTCATGTGATCATTAACAAACACGTACTTTTATTGAAAAACGTGAAATTTTCAATAATCATAGTATAGTAATACTGTATGTACGAAAACTACAAACTATCAGACAGACTCAAGGAAAAGCTTAATCCTTACTTCCTCTTAGACGATTCTTCTTTCCTATCATACTTAAAAAATTGGAGTTTTCTCTCCTTCTTGGAATTTGCAAATAAGAAAAGAACCTTGTTAATAAAAGATAAAAGACATTTACACCAAAGGTTTATAAATTCTCTAAATGCAATTTTAATGTTAGACACGTTAAAGAAGGTGAAAGAAGTGGCTAAGGCTTTGAAGGGCAAGGTGCGTATAGAGCTTTGAATGTTCAATGAATGAATTGTATTAAGCTTTTGATATGATCATTCACTAGATTAATTCGACCAGTGCTAATTTGTTCTAGAAGAAAGTTCAAATGGATGAGGAAATCGCTACTGCACAAGCTGAATATCAGTGCAAACAAGTTTTCATCGAATTAAAAATGAGTTTGAAAATGTACATTCATTCATTTGTTCTGTGCTTCTTAGTACCTGTATATTGACTTAAGTTCTTTGTATTTAGAGTATAATTGAGAGTCGTGAAAAAAAAGTAGAGAAGGATGTGAATGTAAAGTATAATTGTTGATATGGTAGTTTTGACTAAATCAAGAATTTTCTGAATTTAAGTCTGATTTTCAAAATTTTAGAAGGCACTGTTGGTCATAAGAAGACTTTTATGTGATTGGCTGATTAAGTTACGCAAAATTTGTAATTGATATTGTAAATATTTATACATGTCACGTGATATAATACATGATAATAAATTTAACTATTGTATTTAAAGTATTTAGCATTTAAATGTAAAATAAATTAAAGTATTAAGAATAAAAACTATTGTTTCAAAAAATAGTTTAATTTATTAATTTTATATAATAGTCTTTAATTTTTGTAAAAAAAAAAATTGTAAAAAAAATTTTTATTTTTATTGTAACTAAAATGCTTCTTTAAATAAAGTTGTTCTTTTAAACGATCTATTGCTGTTGAAATTTACGCAATGCCTCTTCTAATGCACATGCTACATATTTTATGAGTTCGTTTTCATCATCATCATCACATGGGATATTGTTTTTCAGATCTTCAACTTCGGCTTGTTGTTCTTCTTCGAAGCGATGCAAGCGTTCTAATAAAGACTGAACATGTTCATCAATACCGTCTTATAAGAATGAGAGGCAATGCATGCACTTGAATCTATTGTTTGTATAACAAGATTTGTGATAAGTGTGACCGCAAACCAAAACTTGAATAGGATCTGTATTAAAAGAAATAGAACAGTTAGATGCATCGCAATATTGAAATGGATCTGGTCTATGTAAAGTATTAAACCCTAAAGGAAAATGACACAATTGTGCTTCTGGCATTTTTATTGCTGTTAATGAAATGGAAATTTTATTAATTTTATGGCACTTCTTCAAAGGTATATTTGGATTCACCTGTAATGGAATTATTAATGGCAAATTATTGTGAAATATGTGTATATGGATTTCTGAAAAACATTGCAAAAGGAAACATGCACTTTTCTTTGTTAAATAAGTAATATCTCGGGCAGAATATTTATAGGCAGCCCATGTGGATGTATGAGCGATGTTTTCTCTAAATCCATTATCGTCCAAGCGTAATCAGTTGATAAAATATCTATATTTAATGATCTGCTGTGCCTCAGTGTATTTCTGTGTGCTCTGACGTAGAAAGCTATGGAATATTTCAACGGTCGAGTCTGAAAACTTTGGAAGTTCAGCTTTAATGGTTTTTAAATTAGGATGATCGTTTAACTCCCAGAAAAATATATCTGAAAGAAATATTAATAGTGCCTTAGTATAGTTTTTGCGACGGAATTTGAGAAATACAACCCACACACGAATGCATAATTCTAGATAAGCGTCAAAATCGCCAGATCAGAAAAATACCGCATAAACGTCTAAAACCAGAGGAATTAGGTTATCAAGCAAATCTTTCAATGCAAGATATTCAGCATCTTTGCATAGGAATCCAAATTTCGCATCAAAACTTGTCGAAATTTCCTGCCAAGCGCCACGAGAAATCTCTAAAAGAAGATTAATACGCCATGGCTTAGACTTTTGTGCAAGAGGACTTTGTTCTCCAAAAATATACTTGTACATAGCCAAAAAGGCCGATATTGAAGGAATATTAGTTCTCGACTATTTAACGAGATATGTAAGAGACCTATAATAAGAAGAAATAATAAAATAGAATTAGTGATATTTGATCGATCACGATATAAAATAAAATGAGAGATGGCCGTCTTAAGGTAGATTTGTCCAGGCCAATCAGCAACGACAGGTATAATATATTCCTTTTGAATATATTGTTGCATAGATGGAACATTTACAACAGCATTAATGGCCTTAATATATGCATTTAAAGAATGGAGATTATTTTCTTGTAAATCTATGAGGACTACATCTTTCATCGAACGAGCATCCCATTTCTCTTTCAATCTAGTGTCATAACTATGTGCGGTTAGCTCTTCTAATTTAGTACTATCATCAACTGAACAGAATCCCCAGCGTTGATTATGCGAAAGACTGAGAAGTGTCATGAATCTATTATTTAGATTCAGTTTTATCAACTCCGCGTTGACCAACCTAGGGTTGTATATATTCATATTTGGAATTGCACACTGTGTAGTAATTGGGTTCATTAAAATTATTGCCAAGTGTGCTGCAGTAGAAGTTGTGGTCGTGATTGGCATCCGTTTCATATGGATACTATGATAATCATTGATATTTAATATCATTGCCTTCTCTGCATGTTCTGTGAGTGTAGAATCGACAGTTTTAGCATAGTTATTAGATATGGTAGTTTTATGCCGTGCAATTGTATGAGATGTTGTAGTTACACCTAAATCAGCAAGAGTATTTATGGAGGTATTAGAAACACCGGTAGAATTCAAGTACATTGTCAATTCTTCCTTTGCGATATTAACGAACTTGCTACGAATTCTGCAGAGAAAGTAGCATACATATAAAAGCTGCTTTTTTGCCTGTGCTCGTGAATTTTCATTTTTTGAAGAAGGGTTAGAAGAAAGATATAATTCGTCAAAAAATGAACTTAATCTTACATCTTCCTCTTCCATAATCGCACGAAATTCATTAAATGAGTATATCGTTGATTTTTTTTTCTTCTTTTCACGGTATAAAATATTAGTAATTATTTCTATTGCTTTAGAGAAGGATAAAATAGAAGGTGGAGGTGGTGACACCTGAAGTGGAAGCGGTGGTGGTGGCAGAGCCAAAGGTGGTAATGGTAGTAGAGGTTGAACTGGAGGTGGAGGTGGAGGTGGAAGTTGAACCGGAGGTGAAAAGAAAGATTCCAGAGCATGTTTTTGGAATGCAAGTGAGCAGTTTACCACAATTCCGTTATAACAGTTTAAGCAAATCTTATCACCTATTTGTAAATATCCTGGTAAAGTTTTGTTAGTTTAACCTTTCGAAATAACGTACTCAGTTACCTTTTTCCATCGTACTGACTGTTGGGTTTGGCATATTGTAATTATACACGATTCCATTAAGAGTACTTGCCTCTAAGTAAAGTACCTTTAGATTTTGGATTTTTTTGGGATTATTTTGCACAGTGAATGTTAACACACTTTCGAAGCTAGAGAAAAAATTTTTTTATTTTTTTTTATGTGAAACGTTACAATCTCAAAAAGTACTCTAAACTATATAAATAATGTACCCGGCAATTGAATAGGATCAGCCAATCACGTGAATGTTTGTTCATGACACTGTTGGTACTGGATGCTTCACCCACAATGCCACCTGATAATTATCCCACAACATCATTCTTAATACTTCCGCAACGCTACCACCATTATCACAGAATTTTCTTAAACGTTCTTTTGATATATATGAGACAAGTTATGAAATGGATTGGGCACCATGGAAGTTAGATATCATAATCAATAATATAAACATAGAACGTGTACTTCTGGACTTGTATGAAAAATGTTAGAGAACCAAAAATTAAAACATCACTTGAATACGGCATAATCGACCTTAATGACGGCATTATTTTGGAAGCTTTAGGTCAATCAGTAATATTGCATTTTGAAGTGAAGATGCAAGAATATAAGCCCAAAAAATCTTTATCTGTAGAAGTTATGAAAACCTTGAAAATATTTAATGTTGTAAGTAATTGAAAAATAATTCACAAGGAATAAATGATTAGAAGTTAATTATAATCCATTTTTCAGACATCTTTGGAAGACCTTGAAAGAGCACTCACCAAAGTCAAAATTGAGTATAATAATTTAGATCATGATATTGTCTATTTGCGTTGCCTTTTCGAAAAATTGTAAGTATATGGTTTATGATGGTTGAAAAAACAACCTTTCCTAACATGGATTTTGCACACAGTTTTTTGTTATTTCAAGATAAATCAACAATAAACCTTGATAACAGAGACCTACTGGAAGGTTAGTATAACAGCTACATTGTAGCGCCAATCTTCGATGATTACCTCGAATCAATGGATGAATGTATTCTCTGACGGTATTTGTCGATAATGTTTTGTGCTAATTTTTTATTATGCCCTTAACTGATAAATCTGTTTATTGTTTTGCATAATAGTGGTGAAGTAGAAAGCTTCGTGCAAAAACTTATTGACAAAAAATCAAGAAAAAAGAAGAAATATGATGGAATTTTATTTTTTAGCAGACAATTTGAGTTCATTTTTATAGAGACGGCAACAACTTCTATACTCTCAAAGTCAGATAAAGATCTATTGAAGTTACATAATGCTATCGTTCTCATGTTTAAGCATATGGTATCTACTTTACCAGAAAAATTATTACATGAAATATCATCATGCCAGTGCTTTGCGTGCAATTTAGTGGTAAGTTAGTTTTATTAATCATAGTAATCGTGGTAATCTGCTAATAACTTTTATCTGTTATGTTATAAGAGCAAGCATTAAAGTTTATTTAGCTAGCTGGCTAACAAACATGCGACCAGTAGTTTTTTCAATTATGGATTTTGAAATAGCAGAAGAAATAACAACATTTCTAAAAATGACAAAGGTTGCCGCAAAAATGCTATCATTACGAGTAATTATCTTCCTATTATATCTATGATGCGTTGGTATATTCTGCTAACATTTGATCTCTTTTTGTAGCCTTTCATTCAAGATTTACATAAAAGATATCAAATACTGTTAATGAAGAAGGCTGATTATTATTTGGATGATGAAAACACCTGGACATCACCACTAAGAATGAAGGCTTATCATTAAGTAATTGCAGTAGATGATGAAAATTATTACACTAAATATTAATGGAAAATATGAAAGTATTATGTGTTCATTTTTTACCTAATTATACGTAAACTACATAGCTTAAATGTAATACTTTAACAGAATAATGAAAACATAAATATGATCCAGATTTAACTGTTGATATGATACTTAATTTTATCTTACTTGTAACATACATATGATAAAAATCAAGCCTGATAATGCTTTATTAACATATATCTCGGCTATATAGCTTGTGATCCAAGATTACAACTTGTGTTGCAATGTTTTAAATTTTATTACGATATACTGATATAGAGTGATATAATACGCGAAAGAATAGCAAGCTGAAATGTGTGACAGTTACGCTGATAATTTCTATATTAGGAGGTTATCTAAAGTGATCTACCCTAGTATCACCTACACTTTTCCACCTTCACGTGATTTTGTAACATAGTTAAGCCACACAAATTAAAATTTTTTTTAAACAAAAATGTTCAAATTAATTAAAAAAAAAAATGTAAATTATATATGATATAAACGGCTTAGTCACATCAAACAATTTTTAAGAATTTCAAAATGTAAAGGAATTTTTTTTAAATATATAATCATTAAGAAAAATACGTTATTAAATAGTCTTTGATATGGTCTTTAATATTACATATTTTTTTTTATTCTATTATAAAAGTTTTTTATAGTTAGGATTTTTTTAACGTTAACTTTAATAGTAAGAGTAGAATTTCAGTACCTCTATCATTACGTGCTCGAAATAATATTGGTATATATAAAGTATATAACAGAATATGATTGGTTAATCGCGATTCAATAATTACATGTCACCAAATTCTTCTAAAACATTTGCAGGAACACAACGATGAGACTTATACTGCTTAACTGTAAAGATTTCTATCTTATCCAAAAGTTCAAATTTATAAGCACTTATGTAATATGCAGAATGACGTATAAACTGATGAATTTTTATTAGACTAACAGAGTCTAATACACGTAATACAACCTCCTTAAGGTCCTTGAATGTATAGTTGCAATGGAGACATGAGTACTGCTTTGCTTCTGTCTAAAAAGACTTGATATAATTAAGTTCACAATAGAACTTCAGGTAGAACATACACATATGCCCTGCTACCTCAATAATCTAAAAGATAAGTATTTTAAAAAAATGCTATGTTAAATTGAATAATTAACTTATTAACTGTAGCTTACCTCTTGTAGATGCATCTTTTGTGCTGCAAAGTTGAGTTGAACAGAAAGGATACGTGTTGCATAATAGTCTAGCTTAATTGGATCAGGATTATGTTATATGCATATATTGCATTTTCTTTTCAAACTCGGTATTCATAAACCACACTCTTCAAGAACTCATCAAATATCTTTGAGCTTTACACTATTAGCATCTGTGAATATCATAATATGAGATGAGTCATCAAGCATTCTACTATCATAGAGGAGTAGTTGTTTGCCGTCATCTTTCATGTTCATTCTTGAAACTATCAATAAATCATTAGCAAATGCATTGTGATTGCAACTGTTATCAAACATAAATAGTGTGATTTTTTCCAGGTGAATACATTCAAATATTGGGATAGCCCGCTCTTTTACCTGATTAACAACATCTTTATTTGTTTACCAGCTATTATGATTTGTATCAGGATACATTGTAATGCAAGCTTCAGTATACACAAGCTGCTCACTATCAGAAAGTAAATTATTAGCAGAACAATCTTCTTCTAAAAGCTGAAATCATCCAATAGACTCACAAAGAAAGTCACTTATATAAATACTAAGGCCTTGTGACTTATGATAAAGTCTATTCTCATCCGCTAAACCTCAAGCTTTGACAATATCATCGTTAACATAAAAAATTGATTCATCATAGGTAACTGAAACAATCTCAGAAATACTGTGTGAAAGTACAGGTAAGATGATTTGATCCAAATTATTACCTTTGTAAATAGCAATTCATTTTCATAATTCTACTCATTGTTGTAAAAATTATCTCTATCTGCAACTACATCTTTACATTCATGACCATCAAATTAAATGTTCTTCAAGTAGTTTTTATATTGTCAGCTAAGAATATGTAACCATTTGCGTACAGTTAGATGTGAGATTTTCTTCTATTTCAAAGACAGGGATAACCTTATCTTCAATAAATTTTATGAAATCAGCAACATTTAACTTGAATTTATGCGTACGTAGATATTTAATAATTCATAATTTAACATCTTTATACAAAAGAAGAGATGTGATCTTTATATGGCGTTCACGTTTAGATGTAACAATCGTACCATTATTAAGCCATTAGTTCGTTTATAAGCAGATAAGCTTCGCTTGCCATAGACCTTTATTCAAGCTCTAGACAAAAAGATTACTTGCATCCTTTTTGCTATATCCTTGATCCTGAATTAAATGGAGAAATTGACTTACCATCTGAAGCTGCAAATCATCATTCTTTTTTTTAACAACAAATCCAGAGATTCTAAGGTGAATTCATTATTTTCATTATTACTGCTGTCATATGTATCATCAAATGCAAGATCGTCATTATCTGTATTAGGCTCAGCAGCTTCATTTGTTGAAAATATTTGGGTAATTTTTTTAGAACCTAAAGCTGCTTTTCGCTAATATGCTCTTTTGCTGCGCAATGTTAACTTTGCATCACTATTATATACTAGCCCACATGAATTTATAGTCTATACATGTGATTTTGCATTTTTGATTAATTGTTTTAATATATTTGGCTTTCATGCTTGCATTTCATCTGTAATTTTATCACTATTAAAATGCGTTTTCTCACACTTTATCCAAAAAGTATCAAATCATGATTCATCAAACTCATCCGGTTCAGCATCTGATGGTTCTTCAAAACCTTTTTCTTGCTTTCAATATTTCTTAATAGCTTCTCGAGACTGTCTAGTTCGTTTATTTAATTTTAGCATTTTAATTCTATTAAATTAAAATATAGCATTAAAAAAAGTTATCGCAAATGATGTAAAATGACACAAGGTTTTGCAATTTAACTACTATCACATAATTATAAGTTTATCACATGTTATGATTCTAACCAATAAAATTTCAAATTTAATATGAAAATGATCAGCATAAATTTCAGCGGTGGCTTAGCATTTGATGCAACTAAGCCGTTTGCACTATATTTAAATTCATTTTTTACTCACTTCTCAGATAATTCAAAAGTTTTTCTAGAATAAAAGAGTTCAACATCATACTTTTATCTTATTTGATAATTTAGTATATAAAACTTAACAGAATATTTAAAGTAACATCCTATAGTAGAAGCAATAAGGAATTCATAAATAATACAAGATTTTTTATATTCTTTTTATACAATATCTAATATTTATAATATTTGATAATACATTAGTATTTGTTTTCATAAATAGTACCATTCCTTTTGATATGTGAGTAAATAATGTAATTCATAAAAGTATTTTAGGATATAAAATCTTTTCACTTTTATTACAGATTAATTTTATAATAAATAATATAATTAAATTATTTTGTATTATGATAAGATAAAATATTTTTTCTTACTTACATTATAGATATATTAATCAATCAGTTTGTAATAAATCTATAATTCCAAAACTAATTATATAATTATTATAAATAGACTAATATATTGTAAAGTATTATATAAAGTTATATGCATTAGGAAGAAAAAGATTTTTGATTCTGCTTTTACATGAATTACCAATATTAAAAAAATACTTTTCTTTCATTTTTTATCATATTTGAGGCATTGTATCAAAAAGAAGTTTGTTAATAGCGATTAATGAAAAAATAAGCTTATTGCTTAAAGCAAATTGATACAATTTTATTTATATTAATTATTAAAATTCTAAAATAGTTTCAGAGGATTGATAATTATAAGTTATTGAATTCATCATATTCTATTTGCAATAGAAAATATAGGAATTATAAATTATATAGCTTATATTACTGTAGAAATGAGAATCAACTTTTCTATAGTTTTGAATTAATGAAGTTATTATTTCAAGATAAGCTAGAATATTGTCTTAGCTGTAATTCTTCAAGCAACAAATTCAAGTTTACAATTATAACCATGTGATGGTATTATTGCATATAATAGATAAGTATAATTGCGTAATATTAACTACAATATGTAATTCTTTTTTATTTTCAATCAATAAAGCAAAGGTATTAAGCATAATATATTTAAATATCAATATTTGAGAAGCGTATAAGATTATATTTATAAACTAATATTTATGTATTATAGGAACAAGTCATTGAATTATATAATTTATTCTTGAAACTTCCTACATATACTCATATATTAATAAAAAAAAAACTCTCTTTATTGATCTAGAGATATGATTTCAGTGTCTATTATAAATTTAAGGATTATTTGTTTTTGTTAATCTGATTTTCGTGATAATTTCTTTTAAAGATTTATCCAAAATCATCCTGTCACAATATAAAAAGATAAAATCTTAATTAGTAAATCCTTTTATTCACCTTATGCAAATAAAGTAAAAAAATTCAAAATGAAATGCAAGAATTCTTGATTTAAAGAACTACTAATTAATATATATTATCACTTAACTGGCCTGTTTTTTCTTGATAATAATAAAGTTCTCTTATGATGTTTATAAATATAAATTTTTTAACAAAAAATGAGATTTAACTGATTGAGACTGATAACTATTAAGAAATAGTTTGAATATCTACTAACTTATAACTTTATTGTCAAAGCTTAAAACAAACATGAAATATAATATCTCTAAGATAAAAAAAATACTAAGAGAAGTTCTTACCGCTAAAGTTTAAAACAGATATGAGGAACTTCAGTAAAGTCAGAAAATCAACTGCCATCACCAAAGCTTAAAACAGATATAAATAGTTGCTAGCCATTAAGCAACTCATAATTTTATCGCTAAAGCTTAAAACAGACATAAAGTATAACATCTTTAAGATAAATATACTAAGAAAAGTTCTTACCACTAAAGCTTAGAACAGATGTGAAAAACTTTGACAAAATTGCACCTTCATGAATGATCATTTTTATCAATCATAATTTCAAAAAATTATTCTTAGTCATAATATAAAAAATAAAGATCTTAATTAGTAAATCCTTTATTCACCTTGTACAAGTAAAGTAAAAGAAATTAAAATTAAATGCAAGAATTCTCGATTTAAAGAACTACCAACTAATATATATTATTACTTAACTAGCCTATTTTTTTATTGATAATAATAAAGCTCTCTTATGATGTTTATAAATATAATTTTCTTAACACAAAATAAGAATTTAACTGATTGAAGTTGAAGACTATTAAGAAATAGCTTGAATATTTACTGATTCATAACTTCACTATCAAAGCTTAAAACAGATGCAAAAACTTTGACATAGTTGCATCCTCATGAATGATTATTTTTGTTGATTGAAAATCATTATAAATGACAAATTTTTAAAGTATGTATCTGATCTAAGAATGGAAAATTAGCAGTTAATTAAGATTTAATCAATTAATTAGTTAATTAACTATTAATTAATATTATATATCTTTTTGTATTAAGGAACAGTTTCAAAAACTAATATTAAGTCTAGAGCACAAGTATAATGAAAGAAACTAACTATACAAAAATCCAAAATATAAAACTTTTTACCAGCGATTTTTTAAAAATTCTAGATTTTGCCAAAATTTTATCATCTATTTTAACCCCTGATAGTGATTAGTCTGAATTTTAGAAAAGATCTGGTAAATTATTTTCTTTTCAGATATTTAGTAGTAAAATTTGATTTCTATTTTAAGCACATAATTTTAAATATAACTTTGTAAAAAAATTTTAAAAAGTTTCTAAAAATATCTTTTGCTTAATTGATTAATTAACAGTTAATTAACTAGATTAATTAATACCTATCTCCAATTCCCAATCTAATCTTAATCCTATTACAAACTATGTTTAAGACTGTAAAAGCATAGTTTTGACAACTAAAATACTACTTAAGTTTTCATTTAAAAACTGACTAAGTAATTTTACCATAAAATACTGTTTATAATGATTGGTAAAGTTCTCAATCTTATCAAAAATTAGTCGCAAAATGTTACCAGTCTGTATAATGTTATTTGCAAAGACTTACTTAAAATTTATAAAAATTTTAAAGGATTTACTATAAAGCAAAAATGTGAAAAATGGTATAGTGAGTTTTATCAATAAAATCTTGATAAGCAGTTAATTGAAAGGATTTAAAAATTTGACACAATAATATTTTCAGAGCATAAATATTCAGAACTATACAAAAACATATCAAATAAACCATTAATAGAAAATAATAGAGAATCATTCAGTAATCAGAATAAAATTGAATTGGTTTATACTTAAATTATTAATATTCAATATGTTATAATCGTGATAATCCTAGCTATTAATATGACTCCTTTATAATTCTACATATGTTTAAAGCAACGAATTAAAGTCAAGAATATATAACTAATTTTTAATACTAAGATCTTTATAATTCGTGTTTATTCTAATTTAGTGTGCAGATAAAATTCCTTCATCTTGTAATCTTGTTATTTAGTTATTTCAAGCTTTATAAGTTTATTTGATATATTTTTAGAAGGAATAACAAAAGGAAAAAATGAAGAGGATATAGTATGCCTTGCCTAATAATAAAGGATAATATTAAGGATAAACCAAGATTAAAGAGACACGCGTTCTCTCATATTGATGATAGATCAAATGATGATAGTATTAGTATTATAAATAATAATACAATTTTGTTTATATATTTTTCATTTTTAGATTCAAACTGACTAGTCTTATATTTATAAAGTACAAGATTTATGATGAATTTGATAAGTAATATGAGAGGACCTGGAAAACTTCTAATAGGGTTACGTTAAAATTTGAAAAAATCATATGATTGCGAACCACATGATTTTATTAATTATGCAAACCAAAATGACGGTAAGTATAAAATAATTAAAGGTATTCGAATCATAAAAATACAGCAACATATTTATAGTTTTATTATTATAAAAAACAATAAAATTAGCTATAATATTTAATTATTTAAGAAAAATTTTTGTAAGATATGATTTCATTTCAGGTGTTTTGAAATGCCGAAAAACTTCTATAGCTTTTGTTGTTAAAGTAAAAAAAGAATCTTGAGAATCAATAAAAGGAGGTAAATTAAAATAATATAAGACTTCTTTTGCTAGAATGTGACCAACTAATTTCCCTCCTACTTCATATGTATTAGTCCAAAGATTATTATAAAAATTTAAATAAATTTTAACTGAAAGATAAGATAGGTGATCCAAGAATTCAATATCTCCATTTATCCAAGCATGTTGTTCTCCTCGCTTTTCATACATTGAAATAATTTGAGCAATACAAAGTTTTTTATCAGAATAAATGATTAAATATCTATTTAAGACTAAAGGATGAATAGTAGACACATTTGCATCGATAATATTGTGTACTTTAAAAAATTATATTATTAAATTAATAGGTTAAAAAGGTTAAAAAGATAAAATAATATAAGTTTAAAATGCTAATAAATAATACCATTAATTCCAGCAGTTATTGGAATAGTTGCAAGTTTTTTACGTCTTTCCCAATGATCTTTTCGTTTATTTATATGATTTTTTTGAATAGAATTATTTGTAAATTCAGTAATTAACCGGTTAACATTATTAAGATTAAGTGAATCAGTTGTGTTACGTGCAGTTTGATTGTTAGAAATTCTTTTTGAATGCCGTGAGAAAGCATCATAGTTTTTTCGAATATTAATTAAGACTTTAGAATACAAAAATCCTTCAGGTATAAAAAATAGATTAAACTTTTCGAATTGTCTTTGAGAAATTGGTTTTTGATTAAGGATATATTGTAAATCAGGAAATTTTGTTAAAGAATTTGTTATTTCATTTTCATCTATAATTTCTTCACTATTATCAAATGCAGCAATTTCAATATTTTCAGATCCTATTTGTAATTCAATTTGTTCTAATATAAAATAATAATTTTAAAAAATTTAATAAATATTTAAATTAATAAATAAATTAACTTCATACCAAAATCTTGATTTTGATCATCTTCATTATCAATTATTTTTAAGATATCCGTATTATCTGAAAAAATTTTAATCTGTTGTTGAATTGAAGTTAAATTATGATTATTAATTTCAAGATAATTTGCCAATGCTATTGCTTCATCATATCAAATGCGAATTGCTTCTTTAATATTATCTTCAGATGGCCAAGTACGTAAACATTCAATAGTTTCATGAGAAATAGAAGTTCCATCAATATCAAATACATAACCTAAAAAATGTTTAAAATTGTAAATTTTTAATTAACTTATATTTTAATTAATATAAATTCTTACCTGCAGCTGATGTTCGATCTCTTGATGTATCAATTAATCCAGCATGTGATATTTTATCTTGATACATAACACGTTTTTGAATTTTATAAAATTCATAAAAGTTAAAATCTGCTATTACTTGGCGTGATATACCAAAAATATGTTCAATTGCTTCAGTTCCATATTCCCATAGAAATAAAGGATATTTAGAATAGTAATCTCAATGAATCAAAATAAGCATTATTAAGGATTCTGCCATACTAATAAAGATTTCAAAGCTTTGAATAGAAATAATACTACGTTGCATATTATACCATTTTGATGAATGAGTTGTACCACAACGTTTAATATAATCTTTCCAGATTTTAAGAAAAAAGAATGCACGCATAACCATTCGAATTCTTGCTTTATGATCAATTTTTCGATTAAGATATGCATCACATAATTCTCCTATTTATTAAAATAAATATAAATTAATTTTTAAATAATTTTATTTTATTTTAAATTAAATAACTTACCAAGAATAAACAAGTAAATAAAAAGTCCAATCATATTAGAAGGAACATTTTCTGATTCAACAATTTGTGCCAAAGTTTCTGAATGAAATATTCTATATGCAGTACCATCATCTTGTTTATCAACATTAATAACATCCCGTTTTAATAAAATATGATTTTGTGTTAACTGAAAGAGTTGATCATATCGTGCAGTATCTATTCCTAATGAAAGAAGTCGTACTTCAGTAAATAGTTGATTTCGTGCTGTCTTTTTAGCATGCTTTAGATCCTGAATACGAACCAATGGTTTTCCATTAATAATTAGTACTTTTAAATGCACATCATAAAATGGATCATCAAACGTAAAATATGTTGATGCTGAATTTATAATTTGTGTTTGGGCATTAAATTCTGAACGTACTCCATCAGCTTCTATGCTAAGAATATTGATATTACTCTGGTATACAAAATCTAATACAATTTTAAGAATATTAAAAATTTGTTTCACAGATTCATCACCTTTTGTAGGTAAAATAGCAATTGGTGTTGGAGGTATTTTTCCAATTGGAATCTAATTTAATTAATATTAGGATAATATAAATAATAAAAAAAATAGTTCAATTAAAAAAATCATAAAAAAAACCTTAAGAACAATAACCCGAACTTGTATTGCAATTGCATTCTTTTCATAAATATGCTTTATTTTTGAATGTATATCATTAATGTCAGAAATTGAGACTTCATTTAAAGATAAAGTGAATCCAGTAATATAACTAAGCTCTTGAGAATATACTAGTTTAGAACGAATCTTTGTACAATCAGTCATTAACAAATTGGTTCCTCCCATTTTAACTCTTTTGCTATATTTGCAAATTTCATTACATTCTCTAAGATTAAATTAGGATCTGTAATTAATTCAGTATCTGAAGCACGTATTTGGCTTAAATAAATTAAAATATAAATTAATAATTTCAAAAATATAAAAAATTAAAGATAACAAGTATATTTATATATACTGAATTCTTTGAACAGATATTCCTCCTAATGTCTTACAAAAAATTTCATATTCACGACTACTTTCGGACAATAAACTAAAAAAGTGTGTAAGATGTTCAGAATATCGCAAGCCTTTCATACTAATACCTGCACCTTCTTTTTTTTTAATTTGTAACATTAAAGCAGCTAATTCTGTAAATGTCTTTTCACTACTAAAAGTACCATTCATTCCCATTTGAGCTAAAGAGGCCCACATTGCTGAATCATCATTATTGGTAATTATGCAAGTCCAAAGATTTCGAAGATTTCCATTTTTCAAAAGTTGAACCAAAGAATTATTAAAATAAAATTTTGGTATATATTGGATCGTTGATGGTGTCGCATGTTTCTTATATCAAAAAAAAAACTTTAATTTAGTAATATTTTAAGCAATAAAGAATTAAGCTTAATTAACTTACAATTTTTAATGTCTCTTTTAATCTATTATTATTTTGTAAATTATCACATTCATTACATAAACCCGATAATTTTGTTGTCATAATTGCACAATTTACACTTCGTATTATCCCTTCAAAATGATCTATTTTCCAGGTAGCTGTTGCTTGTAATGCAGTATTGAATTGTTGAGTTTGATTTTATTAAGTTTTTTACGAGAAAAAGGAGTATCTTGTGAAAACTTATCAGGAAAAATTGTTTTTCCAATCACTTCAGGTCTTTTCCCCTACTAAAAAAGGCTGGAGAATTAGTAGCATATTCCGTATACAAACCACTAAATAAACCAGTACAAGGTAAAAGCTCAAGAAACTCCTCTTCGCGCTCTCCTTGTGCATCCTTGTTTTGATCAAAAAAAAAATATAAACTAGGTTGATTATCAACACTAAGAATACAGTTGCGGCTATTAATATGTCTTTCAAAATTTGTTATTTTAAAAGAATGGTCAAGTCGAACTTTAACTTCACATTTACATCAGACAGTTTTACTATTTATTATTTTATCAAAATTTGTAAAAGATCTAAAACGAGAGATACGAGTATCAGAATTTGTATTTTGAGCACGAGACAGGCGAACTGGTGTCATTTTAAAGTAAAAAAAAGCTGAATAACAGCTAGGTAAAGTAAATTTAAAAAAGAACAAAATTTATTGAACAAATTTTACTTTTACGTGTGAAATTAACTAAATGTAGATTGTTCATAATTTGTCCTATTTTAATAAAGTTCTTGAAATTTAAAGAATTTTGTTGAAAAATTTCTTTCCGTCAAAAAAGCATCTATATATATATCTATATATATATCATATGTTTGCGAACCATACTATATATGGTAACCTATTTACATATTATATTTGCAAATCATCCAAAAGCGGTAACCTGAATTAATACGAACTGCAAATACTATGACCTTTCCATCATTATAAGAATGCGAATCATGCCTATCCAGTGACATTTTTTAAAAATCTATAAGTTCTCGAACCATGTTTGACGGTAACCCCTATTAGAAGTTTTCCAGGTCCTCCAAAGCCCCTAAAAGTGAAAGAAAAGGAAGAAGCAAAAGAGAATAGTCAAGGCGAAGCAAAAACAAAAGCAAGTTTAATAGAAGTACCCTATGTATGTAGAGGAATGAATTCAAAAATGCGATTCAGAGGACTATATGAAAACAAATATAATCATTCTAGTTGTGGAGAATATGACCACCATAGTCATATTATATACACAAATTGTAATAAAATTGCTAAAGGAATAGCAGCACGATATGAATGTAAGGAAGTAAAATGGAAGGATCCACTAACTGATGAAAGGATTTTCAGTAAAAATCAGCCAATTAAACCAGTAGATCTCCAACAACAAGGAGAAGTTACTGTTAAAAAGAGGCTGAAGTATGTGTTAGGAATCTTATATGATGACAAAGGAATCTATCTTTCAAAACAAATTGACCCAAATAAGGAAATGTATAACTTATGGCAAACAGTCAGTGGAAAAGTTGAACTAGGAGAATCATCGATAAGGACTATAATTCGAGAAATTGATGAAGAAACTGGAATACAATTGGATGAAGATCGCTTAGAATACATCTTAAATGATCCTACATATAATTGTGACATATATAAAGTAAAGCTAAATAAGAAAATACCTCAACATACTGAACCTACCAAACATAACAATTGGCAACATTTTGAGTTTGATGAATATTTACAAATGGTTGGTCTAAATAAACTGATACCAACACATAATAAATATGAAGAACTTTTCATATCTAAATTAAAGGAACACATTGTTACTAGTAATACAGCACGTGATAAGATTATCAAGGATGCATTGTTTATTGAAGCCCAAGTAGAAGGATACCCTATAAATGCTCTAGTGGATACTGGATCTGTAGGAAGTATCATTACTCAGTGGTATCTTAGGCAAATCAATAAGGAAATTGATGAACTTGCAAAAACAAAAATCATGGGAGTGGATAGAAAAACTATGATGCCTTTAGGAATAATTAAAGAAATTACAGTAGAAGTTAATGGAATAACTGTTAATGAAGATATGCTAGTAACCAATGCTATGGGATATAATATTATTTTAGGAAATACTTGGTTGCAAAAAGTTCGTGCAATCATTGACTATGATACTGGCATCCTAGTCATACAATAAGGAGATCAAACTTCTATGACGCTCATAACTTGCACGCAGGACATACATCCAGGAAGGTTTATACCCATCAAGCCTAAAATAATAGTAGATGAATTAGAATTTGAAGAGGAGGAAGATATCAATATTCAACAATGTTTTGCTATTGTTCCCAAAGAAAAAGAGGAAGTAATCCAAATAAATAAAAAGGAATATTCTGAAATAGTGTTGGCAATGAACATATCTATTGATATAACAATCGACAATAGACAGTTTTCCATTGTATCCATTGCATTGTCCATTGTGTCCATTGTGATTGACGTATTACAAATCTCGATTAAACTTAAATGGAAAGATTAGAA